AAAAACCCGGTCTTTCAAAGGAACCAAATTCTCCTAAAGAGGAAGAATTATTATAAACCTAAAGCAAGAGAAAAAGCACAAAAGAAACAACTATTGGGGCTTTCCACCGGTAAATCCGATGAAAGCCCCTTTAAAATTCAACAATGGAGGCTAGGGTTTTAGAGAGAGAAGAAATAGTTCACTTAATTTGTTATACTCCCCCCGTGTTTTTTAAGTGTTACACTTTTAATTTCCGGCTGTATTTTTTTTTAAGTGTTACACTTCTTTTTTTTTGGCAAAAACCTACATTAAAATATTATATATCTCTCCTCTCATGGTTCCCACCCAAACTCACTACTACTTTTTTATTATATCTTTTCTCTCACATTCCTTACTTTTCAATAAACTATTAACTCTACTATCTTTCATTTACAATTTTTTAATACTCCAACTACCCCACTTACTTCTTATTTTATTTAAGTTAATTAAATTGCCTAAAACTATATGTCAGTCTACCTATAACCCTTAAAAAAAACACGGAGGGAGTAACTTGTTACATGACACATGTGTGTCAGCATCTGATTGGTCAAAGAAATTGAAAAAAAAAACTTAAATATGTGAAAAATTTTAAGGTTAGGTTAGTACCGAGACATATCACTTCGTTTTGCAATCGGATTATTACTCACTTTTTTGGCTATCAAGGAATTTAATTTCTTATTTTGCAAATTGCTTCATTATTGAAATTTAGGGTCTGAACAAGCCAAGTTTTTGAAGTCAAATTACTCGCTATTTTGTCCAGATTAAATCATAATGGTTAGTCTTCTGCAAATTTTCTCTCATTCTTTGCAATTTTTGAATTTTTGTGTTAAAATTGTGTTTTTCTTTTGTTATCTGCTTCGTTGAACTATATACAACATTGTAATTAAATCAACTCATAATCATGTTTAATTATTATTGAGAAACCTAATTCCACTTATTGTAGTTATTTTTGATCAATTATTTGAGTGTAGCTTGTTACTCATTAGTGTTTGGTTGGCTGATTAAATGATTATGTTAACATTGTATATTCGGAAAGTTTATCTTGTTTAGGAGTTTTAGACAAGTTAGATATTCTATTGTATTGAGTATATATATATATATATATATATATATATATATATATATATATATATATATATATATATATATATATATATATATATATATATATATATATATATACTAGCTAGTTTTGTGACGTGCTTTAAAAAATGATATTAAAAATGATATTGATATTGATATTGATACAAAATTAGTTAGTAATTGACGTGCTTTTATGATGATTTGTTATCTAGTAAGCATATAATGACTAATAATAATGTTGGTGGAAATATTCGATTTAATTATATTAAAAAATAAAAAAAATAGCAAAAATAAATTAAATTAAATAAATGTTTAAGACCCGTTGGGTTGACACGAACCCAAAACTTTGGGTAAGGGTTGAACATTTCTTGACTCGTAATTTGAAGTGACCCAATCCGAGATGACTCATGACCTGACCCTAGTTGACAGGTTTACATAGTAATAAAATTCTATTAGATTATGGATATTTACACTTTGAACTACTCCCTTAGCTCCAAAATATATTATGATATAAAAAAAATTATATGATAATTTTGTAGAATTATAATCTAATAATTTTTTTGAATAGAATTATAATTCAATTTCTACATTTGAAAGATTGGTATTTTATTGAAAATAAAACTCTAAACCAACAATTTTATCCTAAAAGTCTATCCAAATAGATTTCAAAACTAACTTTTTTTTTTTAAATCTTGTGACGTGGCACGACACTTGGCGAAAAGTTGGAACGCCAATTGTTGCTACCCCGTGACCTGGCTAAAAGTATTCTATCCAAATAGATATCTAAACTAACTTTTTTTTTTAAATCTTGTGAAGTCTCTCTATTTAAATCTATCCAACGTGGCACGACACTTGGCGAAAAGTTGGAACGACAATTGTCGCTACCTCGTGACCTGGCTAAAAGTTTAGTTTTATATATTAGTTATATGATATGATATATGATTAATATCAAATACAAAGGCTAAGCTGTTTGCCGTTTTCTCCGTATTTCCTTAGTTTAACATGATATCACAGTCTTTCTAATTTCTAGAGATTTTCGATCGTTGTTTGTTTTAATTAATTCCGCAAATTAATTTATTAGTGAGATTAGGCTTTGATTTTTTTATAATTTAATTTCCACAGATTTCAATTTTTTTTAGACGAAATTAGGGTTTCTTAATCCCTAATCTTTGTTAGATTTTTGGTGCATTCCTACAAGTGTGCTGCTTGCGTGGTTGTGTGTGGTGCGCAGTTGCGTTCTAGAAACATTACCTATTGTTAATCTATTTACTAGTATAAATCTTTGTTACCTTTTACGCAATTTTCTCGAAAACGAGGTTTTATTTACCATTAATCATGTATCGAGTTAGAGGGAAGTTGTATGGATGAAACCCTGTATCGAATTTGAGGTTATAATATAATGTATTATAATGGAGCAACTAATTTAAATACGTGCTGCAAAAAATATGAAACGGAGGTAGTATTTGATAATATAAGCAGTTATTTGAAGTTTGGTCGCTCTTACTATAAACCGTGTTAACTGCAGCTATATTGCCTCTTTTGCTTACTGGCTGAGTTTTCTCCTTTTTGTTCCAGGCAACTCCTGCCGATTCGTTCTTGGCCGATCTCAATCAGTTATCAGACAATGAAGCTGATGTTGTGGTAAGTTTATGAATTTTGGTTTTATTATTTTTGGGTAATTCTATGTTACTTTGTTTTTTTACTCTATGTTACTTGTACTTGTGTTGGGCATGTTCCAAGTGTCGACTTGGTTATTTTGTGAAAATATTTCATGATTTTGGCTCAAAATGAAATTTCTAATTGTGTACCATATCCATGTTGCAAAGTAAAGGATTTGATGAGGGTACTTTAGGTTTAATGAAGAGTCGAATTAACAGTCTACAAATATTATTCTTGTTTGAGCTAGTGTGTGTGAATAGTATGTAGTTAATTAATTGGTTTTTACAAGTACAATATGATTTGTTGTATTACAATGCATAGGTAGTGGGAAGAATGATTACAAGTCATTTAGCAGTTTGCAAAATTTTTTTTTAATTTCTTTATTTATTTATTATTATTTTTTTTTTTTTTGCAGGTGGAAGAAGGTGCTGATGTAGAAAATATGGAGGAGGATATTGATGGAGAATTGGCTGATACAGAGTCCTTAAATTATGATGATCTTGATACTGTTTTGAAACTAGAGAAGTCTCAACGTTACGCTGACATCGTGCTGGTTAGCTCATAAACATTACATACTTTACCTTTGAGTCTTAGCTTGCCGTCTTGACAGACTGTATGAATTCCCAAGACTGTTATGTTGATTTGTGTCTGATTCTTTGTTCCAAGCCTTTTAAACTATGTGCTGTCTGCAGTCATATGTTCTTTTTGTAACTTTTTCTAGTTGTAACACATGATTTATTAGTTAAACAGTTACCAAAATGTGTTGTTGAACTTGCAGAGAGTTGAAGATGCATTGCAGGTAGGTTCTGAGATTCCCGAGCATGGAATTGTTTCGGAAGATGATCCAGAGTATCATTGCAGGTAGGTTCTGTTGCAGCAAAACTTATGGGGACTGCTGGAGGTTTGGCCGCATTAGCTAAGATGCCGGCGTGCAACGTTCAGCTTCTTGGAGCCAAAAGGAAGAACTTGGCAGGTTTTTCAACTCAATACCGCGTTGGGTATATTGAGCAGACAGAGATATTTCAGAGTACGCCCCCTCCTTTGAGGATGCGTTCATGTCGTCTTTTGGCTGCAAAGTTAACCCTTGCAGCTCGAGTAGATTGCACTAGAAGAGATTTAACTGGAAAGACTGGAAGGACATTACGTGAAGAGATTTTCAACAAGATTGAGAAGTGGCAAGAGTCTTGTTATTAGACTCCTTAATTTTTTAAAAATGGTCAAATAGGACAGTAAATATTGTTTTCATGGTAGATCAATTTTCTTCTAATTATAATATTGAACCAGTCGGGTCAAAGTTTAAAATTTTTTATCATAAATTCTTATTATTATAAATAGTCACGTGGAATCTTGTTTGATTTGTCTTATTTTATATTTTATTAATAACAACTATTTATAATTTTTTACGCATATGAAAATGGAGATATAATAAATTAAACACGTGTGAAGACTTGTGGAAAGTCAATTGGGGCAAAAAATTAAGGACATGGGAGTATAAGTTAGACATGTTCATAGGGAAGCAAACTTGATCACAAATAATTTGCATTATTGTTGTGGCAAAGTAATGTTGGGGTGATTTTCCCTTTTGTTGTCAGGATTTCATGCTTAAATTGTTTAATGATGATTATTAGCACCTACTCCCTTTTTTTTTTTTTTTTTGACCGTGCACCTCCCTTATATGAGTCATATGGTGCAAAAAAAAAAGGGACCAAAAGAATATTAAATTTGAAAAACTTCCTCCAGAATGTATTTCAAACAAGACAATGGAGACGAAGTGATGAGTATCATTTATCCAAACAATTTACAATAATGATTAATAAAGAACTCCCATGACATATATTTCTTCAATTTTTTTAGTTGATTCTATAATCACGCCTGCTAACGCATATTTTTTATGATTAATATCTCTATTTATATCATTATAAATTATAAAAGTGAATATTAATAAAATATACATCGAGAAGATTCAAACAAAATCTCACATAAATATGTTTTATCGTATTATAAATCGCAAAAGCCTGAAAAGTGTGAAAACATATTAGCAAGTCTTCTAGAGGTAGACTTTACTTGTAGTCAAAAATAGCATCTGACTGTATACTTAAATTTCTAACCCACTTGATAATGCAAGAGCCTATAGTTAATTAGGTAGCAAGTCAACTAGTCAAGTCTCCTCACTCTACAATTTTTTTTATATCTTTGAAAATGAAAACATAGAGTTTTATCAAAAAAACAAAAAACAAAAAATGGGGGAAATTAGCCATTCCATTGATAACCAATTAGAAAAACTATTCACCCTACTGAAACAAACTCTGAAAATTTCCATGAAAAACACCCTTGTCACTAGCTATACAATTCTTAGCTCTCTCCCTTTTCTCTTCCTTATGATTTACTTTGAAATACTTTTTGAAAAATCATTAACAAAAACTTTCAACTTCAAAACTCCTCTTACATATTCCCAAAAGTTTAGGAAAATTTCTGAGGAGTGGATAGATTATCCATTTCCAGCTTTAATCTACCTCTTCCTCCTGCACGTACTAGATTTCCTTGCTGCTATCCTAACCATTGTTCTGTCATTGAAGACGTACGAAGACGGTCCTATGTATGAAACCATCAGCCTCAAAGAATTGATCTTAAGACAATCCATCATGACCAGCAGAGAAAGGATGAACGGCTCATTTGTTACATGTTTGTATGTTTTGTTCTTTCAACTTATCTTTCACTTGGATTTATTCTGCTAGTATTGAGCTACTACAGCTTTGATTCAAACTGTTATTACCTGATTTTTACACTAGTCTATGTGCCTGCTTTTCTTGGAATGTTGCCTAAGTACTTGGCGTTGAATGCTGTTTGGAATACGAGTGTGGTGGTTTCGGTCTTGGAAGAGGTTCATGGGATTGATGCGTTAACCCGTTCGTTTTATCTGTGCAAAGGGAATGAGAAGCTTGGAGGAAAATTGATGCTGGTTTTCCTTGTATGGGGTTTTAGTCTAAGGATTTCTTGCATGTTTTTTGATGATGGGAAGATTGGAGTTATAGGGAGAACTAGCTTGCTATGGTTGGCGATTCTAATCAAGTGGATGGCGTGTGTTATGTATTATCATCACTGTAAGGGGAGTAAGGCTTTAGGAAGATCGGTCACTTCTACCAATCGTTTCGATGACAGTCGCCCTCATGAAGAAGCTGAATTGACCACAATTATGGTTCCAGATGGCGGATTACAGACAATAAGAGCAGACGCCAATATTGTTGATGACCAAGATGAGGAAATCCCTCCAAAAAGTTGCTAAATTGCATTAGTGTATATTGTATCCCTTAATTTCGTATCTAATCTCAAACTGAATGAATTACAAATTATCTGTGGTGTATATTGTATTATTGTATCTTCTGGTATTATCTATGGTATTAACAAGTGTCTTAGAGACTATGAAAAATTAAAATGGGGCGGAAAAAAGAAAAAAAAAAAAAAAAAAAAAAGACAAGGGGAGTATAAGTTTAGACACGTTCATAAGGAAGCAAACTTGATAACCAGGTGATTTAGATAGATTTGATACCATTATAGACAGATATAAAGCTTATCAAGAAAATAACAATCAGGAAAAATGATTCAAGTAGCTAGTTTGCTACTGAAGAGAGGTCCAATTTATGTAAAATTTAGAAGAAAAAAAAGTATAGACAAGATATGCGAAATTTTAGACATATAAATGTACTTTTATCTTTTATTTTAAGGAATACTCTAATTTAGTCCATTCAATTTGACTCTAGTATGTAGTTACCACTAGCTTCCAAGAAAGAGTTCATATAAGATGGACAGCAGAAGTTATGTTATGGCAACATGCACTCCAAACACCATTGTTGGCAGCCAATACTTTCAAACACGCATAACTGCAAAAGTTCAGAATCCTCCACAACCCACTATAACCTCAAATCCAGTCTCTTAGATTTTAACTCAAATGATGGGCCAATGCCTAAAGCTGTCTAGGATCGCCATTTTGCTATACTACGTGGTCACTATGCAACATGTATGCTGCAAGTCTACAACTTCAATAGAAAATGACAGAAACCCAGAGAGAAGCTCACCAACTATAAAGTATGGTATTATAACAAACATGAACACCAGAAAAAACATCCTTGTCCAGGTAGCAACCAAAAATGAGAACATATAATGGGTAAAATAAAAAAGATAACACTAGCAGTAATACAGTCCTCAGCCTATACTCCAGCCTCTTTTCTGAGAACAGCTAACGTTACTCGTTTTGTTTCTTCTAAGCCTGCAAAAGATAAGGACAGTATTAGAAAAAAGGTACACAAATCACAACTTTGCATACAGATTGATAGAAGATAGCAAGGCTTCGGTAATCAAAAGAGCATTTCACTCCAGGATACCAGAGTTCCAAAACAGTCAATAATATTGATTTAAGGTAATCAGCCTAAACAGCATCAAACACAGTATCAATATGCTAGAAATGCATCTGACTCTAGGCTAAAGACACTAAAAATAGTACATTCCCCCATCTCTCAGTCCTCAGCCTCCCCAGAAACCGGGGTGGAAGCAGGAGGGAGAAAAGACTACAATTGAGACATAGGATCAAACACATAATAAAGTGGTGGACACCTATCCACCAAGTTAAAACACACGTGCGTGCATAAAGCCATGTATAGTGAAAGTTGAAACCCACCTTGCTAGCGATGTTGTTTGAGAGCCAGTCCAAACCCTCGTAAAGTCCTTCTCCAGAGGTGGCACATGTGCTCTGAATGTACCTATAATTACAGGAACAAATGGAGATTAGTCAATACAGAGCAGGGCATCTGTCAACATAGTGAAAAGGTAACTAAAAAGAAGAAACAGAGAAATGCAACTCAGCTGAAGATAGAAGAAATCAAAGAGGCAAAGCTTACCAGTGACGTTGACGTAGAGAATGGAGGCCAAGCTTATCAGTAATCTCAGCAGCATTCATTGCATTTGGAAGATCTTGCTTGTTAGCAAACACCAATAAAACTGCATCTCGCAATTCATCCTACAAATATTCAAATGTGTAAGAAAGACCAATGTAATCAGGATTCACAATCGCCATAATTATTTCAGTGGACTAACTTAATAAAAGCTCCCATTTGTACAGCTACAGAAAAACCAAGAAAGCCAGAGGATAAAAACCTACCTCGTTTAACATCCTATGCAGCTCGTCCCTAGCCTCAACAACACGGTCACGATCATTACTGTCAACCACAAAGATGAGCCCTTGGGTGTTTTGGAAGTAATGTCTCCACAATGGACGAATCTGAAATCATCAATAAAAATTTAGAGTGGGAACCAAAAAAGGGCATAATTCAATTATACAAGATACATAAACAAAAAGAAAACAAGTTCAATCTTTTTCTCAAGGTGCATACAATGATACAAGTAGACATGTAATAAAATGCCAATTTTTGAGTTTCGGAAAGTACACAAATAATCAACAACAAAGTGAATGTATACTATAGGCCACATGTGATCAATAACCCACACAATTGAGCATGCCACAGCCTAACAATCTGGCATAACAGTTAACAAATCAGTAAGCACTAGTATTTTCCCAAGCTCCTATGGGGGAGGTGAATGGGAAAGTAAGGGAAAAGAGTGATTAGACCATAATTTGACCAGAAGATCCTTAAGCTATCATATTTCACGTCCATAATGGCGAAAATTGATTGATAATGGCGATAAGACCATAATTGGACAAGAAGGCTGTCCAATACGAAGGTAAAGAAGACCCACCTTATACCATCTTTGAACAACCAATACTTTAACCCCCCTCCCCCCCCCCCCGGCTTCATTACTCTAGCTAGCTTAATAGAAATTTGAGCCAATAAATCCTACAGCATCACAAATAATCCTTCACTGGCACACTGTAACATTAACATCCATCCTTCTATATGGCTAAATTTGTGATGGAATACATGTGTCTCTACAAATGATCACAGACAAAAAAAAATGCAAGTAAGCAAAGATTACTAGTGGTGGAAAAAAGGGGATGAAAGGGAAATGACAGAAGAGGGCCAGCAGTCATACTATATCTGATATCTATTATTGGCCTAATACAAGCAAGCAAGTCAAAAGTGCATTTGGGTTCCAAAATAAAAATCACCAAATTAACATGATTAAAAACTATTTGGGATGGTTTTTTTTTTTCAGTTTTCTATTTTTTTTAAAACAAAATTAAAAAAATAGGAAACTAGAAAAAGTTGTTTTCACTTTTCCATTGTCAGTTTACAAAATTGTTATAACTTAAACAAGGTTGACCCATTTTTTTTTTGGACCAATATTCAGATAGAGGCTACTAAGTTCAGACAATAGTTTTTCAGCTTTCAGGTGAAGAATTATCCACTGTTGATCAATCAGACACTAACAATCTAACATGTGTTTGCAAAAGAATGTAAGGATGCTTTTTATGAAAAATTTACACTCCCACTTCAACAAAGTCAAAGCGATCATTTCCAAAAACATTTACATTTCTTCATAAGAGACGGGAAAAGCAAAAACCATTAAACTGCTACTTTTTCCCAGGCAACACTCATATCCTAGCCAATGTAAATTAGGAAATAACTAAACAAGAAATGACAAGGGAATAAATTTAATCCTGTTCAATCTCTCCCCTCAACAAATGTAAATGATCTGACCACATAAGCAAAAACATGCAGTCAAAATCATGTCAGTGAGGAACGGTTGCTACACCTTATTAGCATAACTTCAAAAGGTAATATTTAGGCCTCAAGGAAAAGTAAATTATAGATGTCTATGACTATGCCATGCAAGAATTTAATTTAAGACTTAAAAAATAGCAACACAAGATGATATCAGATAAATAAAGTAGACAGGACTTGCCTTGTCTTGACCTCCGACATCCCACACGGTGAAGCTGATGTTCTTGTATTCCACAGTCTCCACATTAAATCCTGTCAGCACATAAGAACAAGTTCCAAACACATTATACACAGCCGAGTATATGCAAAAAACATCAATAAGTCGACATAGGATCAGACCAATACCAAGAAACTAAACAGGATAGGCCAAGAAAGTTCTTTTTAGGGAGCGTTACAAGGAGGACAAACAAAAGGATAAATAGTCACTATTCTTAAATTACAAAAAACGAAGGGCATTATTTCCTTACTCAATATATTGAAAAGCTAACATTTCAAATATAAAAGATATGATCCTGTATCACAATAAAATACAGAACTTGTACACAGTAAGGGTTAACAAAAACGAGCAGTGTTTTGAAGGCAAATAGTTACACTAGTGTGGTGCTAGTTATTTAGCATTCCAGATGCCATTTACCAGGAAAAGTCATTCAGTGAAGCTTGCAATACAGGACTTAAAATTCCGAAAAACGACAACAGATTGCATTGATTTGGACACAAATTCAACACGAGGAATACAATAGCCAATGGAAGGGAAACCAGGAAAAATCTCTAAATCGGTTTACCGTGTCTGAACATACATATCCAATATAGGCCAATATAAAGAGGTGACAAATGACAAAAACAAACACGCTAGTCATCTCATGGCAAGTCAAGTATTTTATGAGCATAGTACTACTGCATCATCAAAATACCGAAGGAGAACGACAAACAAATTCAATATGAACAGAATCCACAATATAATCATTATAAGCTCGAAATTAAAAATCTAGAGACATACCGATGGTGGGAATGGTGGTGACAATCTCTCCGAGCTTAAGCTTGTAAAGAATTGTAGTTTTACCAGCCGCATCGAGACCCACCATAAGGATTCGCATTTCCTTCTTGGCAAATAACCGGCTAAACAATTTCGTAAATGATAGCCCCATTTTTCACCTAACATATCCAATCAAACACATTTTTCCATCAAATCGAAAGTCAATTAATCAAATCAATCACAATTCTCTTCAAATTAAATCAATTACAAGTAAAAAAAAATTCATGATTGCGATTACAAAAATTAAAATCAACAAAGTCAGCGATTAACCTAAGCAACAAAATTCAATCAATCAAACCACAAATCAAATGCAAATTACACAAAACAAATCGAGAAATTAATAATCGCACACCGAAATCTCCAATCAAAAATCAATCAGAAATGAAAAAATTGAAATCAAAAGGCGATGCGATGCGATTCTATAAACAAAAAAGCGATCAAAACATAGATCGGAAAAAGATGAAGAATCGAAAAAAGATGAAGAGATCTGAAGAAAGGGAACTTACGAAGAGGAGAGAGAAAGGAGAAGGAAGAAGAGAGGAGGATCTGAGAAAGCTGAAGCGTCCACGATCACGAAGGTGAGGAGAGAGAGAGAGAAAAATAAAGGAGGTGAGATGAGAGGAGTATATAAATGCTACTCTGTCGTAAAAGACGGACGTTTTTCATTTAGATCTGTCATTTCGTGTGTACGCTCTTCAGTCGCTATTACTTGGACGGAATGTTTGATTCTAACTTGCTATTTGCTTTTGCCGTTACCTTTTCTAATCCCGTGCGCTGCATGATTTTTGTTTTTATTTTTGATAGTCGATCATTGAATCAAAAGGGAATGAGATTAAGTGAAACATTTTATACATACCTAGATGTGTTGTGTACCCAACTAATCAAAATTTAGTTTTTGATTTTCATTTGATGATTATAAGAAAAACAATCATTAAAAGGTGAACAAAATGCTTATAGGTGTGTCTGCACCTGGATGTGTATATGGAGTAACAATAATCTCTTGAAATCATAGGGTGTGAATATGTAGATGGAAGTAGAAAATGTAATGTAATTGTAACTATTTGTATTTCATAGACATGACAATTATTAGATTTGATGGAGTTTGCTCACTTAGGGATTTTTTAAATGAAAGTTTGATAAGCATTAAAAAATGAAATTCTTTTGTAAAATAAAAAAATAAAAAAATTATTAAAAAAAAGGAAAAATATAGTAATGTCAACATCATTCTATGCAAACCTTAATCACACTACAAATAAACGACTTTAAGGAAGGGATACTGATAAACGTGTCTGAGTCGTACCTATCACAAGTGTCCACTTTATAAGTCTAAGAAGGTTCTACCTCAAAACCATTGCCAATGAGGGGAATAGTCTCTTATCCTTATTATTAAGTGGGCACAACTTTCTTATAGGGTTGTTTATGGGCTCAACACTCTCCTCACATGTGCGTTATCCATAATATTGGCCAGATCACAACTAAACCCAACCCGGGGCTCTGTTTACCATGTTAGGATACCAACTCAACTAAAACCTTAATCTGATACTTGAAGCACAAGATTGATTTATATACTTTATCACACCCTATACTATTAGAGCCCGTTGAGCTTAACATATAGATGCAACATGTGCTCCTTCATACCCAATGTAAAATATTCAACTTAAAAGAGGTGGATGAGATAAATAGTAAATGAAGAGTAAACAAGAGAAATTCAAGTTTATTAAGCTTTAAAGCAAAACAAGTGTCAAGTGACAAGCTCGTAAATAAAGAACTTAAGATAACATAATTTAGGAGTTAAATGGTTAACTCTTGAGGGTCCATTCGCTATTACTAGTTTTTTTTTTTTAATATTTTTTTACACTTTACTTAAAAAAAAAACAAAACAAAGATGGAAAACTAACGATTTTTTTTTTTTACATTAGAACTTTATAGTATTAACATACGTGCCTAGGAGAAACCGAGAAAGAGGGAGTATCAATTTTCTAAGGCCTTGTTTGGTTGAACAAAAAAAATGGGGGAATTGAAAAATCATGGGAATTTAAAAATTGGGGTTTTATTTGGTTGGCTATAAAAAGCGAAATATGTTGGGAATTTGCAATTCCTACAAAATGTGGGAAATAAATTATCAAAGCCCCCCTTAATAACTCAAAATTCCTATGAATTACAATTTCCTTTATAGCAACCAAACAAATTTATGCAATTCCTGGAAAATTGAATGTGAGAATTTAATTCCAATGAAATGTAATTGTCTATGAAAAATAAAATCCCATATCAACCAAATAACACCTAATTTTCTTTGGTAAATTAACATAAGCCAAAGCCAATACCTATATAAACCCCCAAAGCCTCAACCTCTCTTGCAAACGTCATGAGATAGTTCTTCAACTTACCCTAGACAGGGTGATAAAAAAAGAGGAAAAGATGGGCGGCAAGAAGCACAAGAAGAAGACGTTCACAACCCCAAAGAAAATCCACCATGAGAAGAAGAAAGAGCCTCTTTCCATTCTCAAGCTCTACAAAATTGATGATGATTCTGGAAACCTCCAGAAGCTGCGAAAGGAGTGCCCTTCTCCTCAGTGTGGTACTGGCTCTTTCATGGAGGCTCACTCCGACCGCCTTTCTTGCGGCAAGTGCGGCTTAACTTTTATTCCTAATGCAAATTCGGAGCAGCTTCTTGGAGTTTAAGATCAATTTCTTACATAAGATTTTTTAAGACTATTATTCAGGCTAAAAGCTATACATTATGTTAATTCTTCAAGGAATGTAGGCAATGGATTACGAATTGAGTTGTATTTTAATGTTGATGAGCATATACTTCAATTATATTTTTGCAAAGATTGATACTGCGTTTAATGTTTATGTTAATTTACATTATGCAAATCTTTTGATTAGTTCATCTGTTTAAAATTTCAATAGTTCAATATCACATTCATTGCATCGGATCGAACCTTAGAGGTTTAAAGTTCGAGAGTGTTTGGGGATGGGATTCCCTTACCATAAAGCAATTACCATAGTTATAGACTGCGTAATTAAATCAAACAACCAATCTTCAAAAGTGGCGAAAGGGTATATAGATTCAAAACTATATATTGATCCTAGTTCATACATTGCTTATAATATATGCAACAGGTTGCATATGAGCTAATCCAAACTTGATAACCACTCAAGGGTAAATCACACAAATAAAATAATGAAAAGAATCAACTGAGAAATATGGCTTGCAAAAAAAGCTCCTCTCTACACATTTTGGCTCTAATTATGCACACAAGAGTAAGTTATATCAGTCAAATTACTGGTTGAATCCTGTGAATTCCGGAAACAAGCTTCGCAAGCTTGAAATAAGTTGTGGAGACAGAGCCTGATTTTGTACAAGAGTTTGATGGTATCTTTCCAGGAGAGATTGCAGAAATATCTGTGGATCAAGCTCTTCAAGCGAACCTGTATAAATCACAAAAAACAGAACTGATCAATAGGTTGATAGCATCAGGATGTCTGTTAGCTTGTTCAGGGCAGCATGAATGCTTGATCAGCTTAATGAATTTGTTCGAAAAAGATAACCTGTGTTCTTGGACTCAGCCCTCAGGTATAGTTGTATATGGATACAAAGTCGAGTGTGGGACTTGCCATAACTCAATATTAGGACATGGGGGGAATGTCGGGATACTATTTTAAATTCAAACAAGGTGATAGGATTATACAGTCTTTGAGTACCCCTTTTATTAAGAATATCTAAATTGAGGATAATACATCTAATTTCATCAGCAAAATAGGGGCAAAATGCAATTATTACTCCATAATATGGTTTGATGTCAACTAATTTTTAAAAAACTTTTGGATGCACCCATCTTAATACTAACTCAAGACTGCAATGCCCAAAAAGAGAGAGAGATTGACACTGTATTAACCTAACAGTAGATATGCATCTACACCATGTAGGTTAATTGCATCAAGATATAGTGGTTTGATGTCCTATTTGTAATTTCAAGAGTTAATCAGGATTACGTAAATGATTTATTGACCTAATGAAATCAAGAGTCAAGTATGAATTCCACATCTATATCCTTCTCATTCAGCATGAGTGTGACAACAAAAATGCCAAGTTGGAGCAACATCTTAAATTGATTATGCTGAAAAGGCATCACACAACAAAATTTGATGTCAACGTTTTATACTCCAACTTGTGAGACATAGGAAATTTTCTCCTTCTGGCTTGCATTTGTAGCATGCATATGAATTGGGGTGCTAAGGTCATCATCCTTGCATAGTTGCATCTAAAAGACTTTGCCCTTCCATGAGCCACTGCACACTATATCTCCACATGTCTGTATGCACCTGTTCGGCTATTTTTATCTTTGTTTAGCCCATCAGTGTCATTCTAACTACTTGTCTGATGATCTTTTGCACTAATTATGAGAAATGGTCAAGTTAGCATTGATTACACTATAGAATAAGTGGGGAAAGGCCGAAAGGGGAAAATAAATGTTAAATTCTAAAGTATGCATTATCTTAACAGTAAAATTCTTGTAAACATTTTAGTAAACATTTTGTCAATATTTTGTGCTCAAGTGGCAATGTTTCTCTAAATGGTAAAGTGATTTAATAGATTAAAGAGTAGATGTCTAACCCAATTCAAGTTCTTCATCAAAATCCTCCGAGTCCCCTTCTTCAGCAAGATCTCCATTTTCCAAAGCCGCAGCAGCCTCAGCATATCTTTCCAGAAACTCTTCTTCAGTTTCTTCTTGTACATCATCATCAGAGTCCTAATTTTACCAATTAGGAACAGTATTAAACAAAGAAGTTAAAAGCTGGATAACATATACTTGCAGTTGAACTCTTATCAAAATTCCCAATTAAGCACCCAGTTGCCAGTATAGCTATTTCATTTTCAAAGATGCAAAATGTAATGCAATGTAATTTTACTCCTCTGAATCTTAAGTGAGCAACAAGGATGAGCTGGACAACTAAAGTTAGAAAGAAAAGAGAAGCAACATAAGTCAAACCTCATCATCATCATCATCATCATCAGATTCCTCTTCCTCTTCATTTTCCATCTCTTCATCTTCAATTTCTTCATCCAAGTGATTTGCTTCCTGAATTTCTTTCAATCGTGCAAACGCTGACAAGAGCGAACTAAAGCATTCCCATAACAAGCCACTAGTTGGGCTTCCCACAGTTAAAAGCTGTTCAACCACCTTGCCAAGAGTGATAACTGAAATGAAGCATGCAATAGATAAGCACGGGGTAGAATAAAAAGAAAAGAAATTTGCAGATTGAGATATACTATGGACAGCTGGCATATTTCAAGTGTCCACCCTTGGGAGGTAAGAGAGGCGAAGGGGGAAGGGGGGGGGGGGGGTAAGTATGACATTCCAAGCTCAAGCATGTAGCTTGTATTGTACAAAAGAGGATAAACCCAAAAACTATACAGGATATGAAGAAAACTATCCTAAAATTTTTGGTACTCTAACCCATCTATTAGAAACTGTAATGCGCCTTACAAAGTTATGAATCTTAAAAGATCTAATTGACTAAATCCATTGTTAACATTTGAGTTGGAATTGGAGATACATTGTTGCTTGCATGTTGATTGGTCCCAGCTGTATGAACAAAATAAATTTGTAAATTTGTGTCTAGCAGGCTAGCAGCTATGTAACTCCTGACTCTTCAAACATCATTTCACCTCAAGTAGCTGTGTCGTGTACTCAGACATGATTATGACACTTGATGACTTAAAGACTTCATTTAAGATCAAAATCATGCAAAAAAATTTATAAGATGATCATGTATGAACACTTGTACCTGTGTGTCTGAAAATTTTAGCCAAGTTCGAGTAAAATAGTCTAGCATCAAGAAAAAACTTTGTGGTACTTCAACAAAAAGCTAATATTGTATCCAAACTTCTAGCTAATGATGGAATCGTACATGCCTAGATTGGTTCATGTGTTGGTGGTGGTTTTACTGTTGTGTAGAATGATGGTTACCTTATTATTATGAAAATAGAGACCAATCCATTATGTGCAACTTCAAGCCAATAACCAATGTAGCTGGAATAAATCCCTTCCCCACTTAATCTATCCAAAATTGAACTATGGACAATGAGATTATAGTACTTCTCTGTTAGAATAATAGAAGAAAAGGAAAGGCTTGGTAATTTACAAGAATCAGAGCCGTCAAATTATCAATAGCACCAAGAAAATCCGTGCACAAGACACACAGGTGTACTGTTGTTGATGATCAGTTCAGTATTATAAATGACCATATTGCAGTGCTACTAAACACAATGGAAAATAACAAACAGAGAGCTGAAGTGAAAAGAAACCCACCAACTAATTTAATTTCCGACTCTGTTGTAGTGTTTGGTGTGAATGAGATGGAGGAGATAGAGTTCACAGAAGATACCCAGACCATGAAACCACCTTTTTCAACCTTTTCTAGAACTGACTGGACAGCATCTGGATAATACAAATAACATGATGATACCGCAAGCAACAATGGTTTCCAAAGTGGACAAGGTTTACTTTGAATATCTTTGAATCTAGATGCTGCAGCCTGACTAAAAGCAATTACCAATGAACGCTTGACTTCCTCTGTATCAGAAGAATAACATGGAAGATGAAGAAGGGTATGTACACATGCACAAGCCCTTGATGCTGCAGAAGGATACTGTGAAATGGCTTCACAGACAAATGCTGCAATATTTTCAATGAGAGATTTTTCTGGTACAGGAGGAGCTGGTGGTGGAGACATCTTAGCGATGAAAAATTTCGGCAGGCCAAGGTTCTTCTCTAGATTAACAACCTCCTTAATGCAGTCAAAGACAGCCAAATCCTCTACTTCTTCCCAGGAATGCCAATCTGCTATAATTTCAGTCCAAGCTAACAAAAGTTCTGATACTTTGAGTTCCAGAAGAGCATCATTGTTGGTACTGGACCGGATGATGAACCAAAGGATTGTTGATGCATCATCAATGCATGAATGTGGTGAAGTATCATCATCATCATCCTGACCATTGTCACCACTATCAAAATGTATAAACCTTTTCTACAGTTAAATTAAGACACGCAAACTTTTAAGTCGAATGAACTCCCCTATCTTATTGATAAAAAGTAAAAGGAAACAAAGAATAAAGGAAGATTGTCTTCAAAAAAAAAAAGAATAAAGGAAGATTTAAACTAAATGACTCATTAAGAAAAACAACCAATTAAACACTTAATGGACTACTCAGACGTGCTATAGAGGTAAAACATGGGTATGTTTCTAACTGCCGTTCTCAGCCAGCTTTGATTTTACTCTAACTACTAAAGAATATTATGAAAAGACTGGTAAGACAAAATAGACAACAAAAAAGTACATTATATACAAGTTGATACAACTAAGTCTACTCGTACTTGGTGTGTCCAAGTCAAGGAATTTGCTAACTGAACTTCTTAAACAGATTATTCTTCTGAACTACTCATGAAGCTAATAAAAAATAATCATGTTGTTCTAGTAATTAGAATTTTACTTAGGCAAATGACGGAAAGTGGCCTATGCATTTTGATCATATACTTTGTACATTGTCTATAGAGTAGAAAAGAGACATTGTTGTTACAACATCGTATGATATCAACATTAGGAGATCATATCGAGAGAGGCATATACAACATTGACAAGGCAAAAAAAGGGTGGATAGAGCATTAGAACAGATAAGCACTTTCATGTAGATAATGCACAGAAGGTGAACATGAAAAGATTTGTACACCATATATGAAGGCCATTAATGCAAATAGTTGACTAAATCGATGAGGTACGCAAAACAAGTGCTTATATTGCAATTTGACCCTCACCGATATTTCCTTGGTTACAAGCCATGCCTGTTGCAAGAGGGCAGAAAAGGCTCTAGCCATAGTTCTCTGATCAGATTCCCACTTTGCACTTATGTGGTTCTGTTCCTCTTCTTCAGGTATCGCGTCTTGCCAAGATTTAGCCATTACAGATAGTGCTGCAAAGCCCTTTATAACTGACTGCCATAGGTAAGAAAGGATTATTGCTAAGATTTCAAAGGATACTAACAGGACAAAAAAAAACAAAAAAAAAACAAAAAAAGAGGCAAGCGGCAACCAATGTTATTAGGATTGGGATCCTAATTTGGATTAGAAGGGGTTATTGGGATCGGATCATAAGATTGGATAATTAGATTGTACAATCCTACAAATTTAATTGCTTACTCACAAAACTCTAAAAATTAGTATTAGCTTTTTGATTGCTGATTAGTAATTGATTTGCTTGTATGTGAGTGTTGATCTTCTTCTGCAATTTGCTTTTGTGAGTTCCGAGGAAGAAGCAACAGAGAGACTAAATAAATATCTTTAGGAGTCAAAGGACAGATCTCTTGTAAGTGCTTAAAAAAAATCTAACAGTTCGAAAATTGCATTTTCATGCCCATCAAGCAGTATTCTAAGGGAATGTTAAGTTCATTAGAGGATATCAGGATAGTGATGACCTTTATGAGCCAAAACAATCATATGGGCAATTCCAACGATCCAATTGGCAATCCTAAATGTGTGCAACTTTGAAAATTATGCAAGTCATTTTGCTGAAGTACCAAATGAGAATTCAATATCAATTCTATTTGGAAGGCACATTTAATGCTCATATGGCGAGTCAGTGACAACTACACTAAAAAATAGCCAAATATAGTAGTGATGATTCAGATGAATTGTCAACAAATTTGCCTAATCTTATTTTTTTTTTTAAAAATCCCCCTGCTGTCGACGACAACCCCCCCCCCCCCCTCCCCCACCCCCCAAACCAACCAGTAATATAAAAAGCTTTCACAGATTAAACCACTTAAGGAATGGCTTCCAAAAACTCTCTATTAAGACTACAATTTGGATTTTCTAAGCATACAATAGAAACTGAATCAATAAATCCTGCTCAATTACATTATCTTGGCATAATTTTTGTAAACGTCTTAAACACTAATAGACCAAAAAAAATAATGCATTGCTAGAGGAGGTCAGTACTTACTTGAGGCCATGGCTCTATATTGGAAGGCATATACTTGGCAATTGTATCAGCCAACTGTGATACAACTAAAGGTATATGAACTGCTACCTCTTTCTCTCCAGCCTCAACCACAGAGCTAAGTAGTTGAAATAGCATGGAAATCTCTTCTTCATGACCAATTCTACCAACTACTACTTGGAGAATAGGTAGCCAGTCAGGTGGCAAGTATTCACTCTGCAAAGTGTTGTATATATATTTAAGAATGAAGGCTCAGAATAGAGGGAAAAGTAAAAAACAATAAGTCAAGTTTACTTCTTCAGAAAGGGAATTACTTCAAGAATCTTGACCACTGCCCCAGCAGCACTTGCTCGCACAGGGTAACAAGACACGTCTTCGCAATCGGGTATCGTCAGTGCTTTAAGCAATGCAGAATATACATCAGCTGCCATATCCTGTAAACCATAGTCGTAGATTGGATATTTGAGACTTAAGAAAGAACACATTCAGTTGAGCGCTGTGACCATGAAACGAAAATTTCATAAAATTATAACTAAAATACTAACTTCAGGTAGAGAGGATGCTAGCTCTCCAAGTATCCAGTTTGCAGCAGCAAGCAAATAAGGGTGGGTTATGGAGACCTTGTAAAGTGGTAGCACCCGATGTCTAATTAAGGTTGCTGAGCGTTCAGGTTTTTGCTCCCCTAAGAACTGTCAATAAAAATGATAAAACAACCATAAATAACTGTTACATCAGAACAGATTAGGAAAAGAAAGGAGATGTTCTTACATCCTGTAGAGCTCCATACCCCATGAGAACACCATAATAACTGTCATTATCATGGGAACACCATAAGAAAACAAATGTAGGGTGACTACGAAAGTTTTATACAATACAGACAATCTTCACAAATGATTAAGGAATTGCTGTCAGAAGTTTCATCAGAATAACACCAAGGAAACACCCTACCAAGTCATAATAGAACTCCAAATTAACAGAGCGTTGGAAAGTGACAAATATATAATTAGTCGGTAGACTGCCAACTTGCCAAACAACAATGGTACTCAGAAACTTACTTATTTGATATACTAACGTCAGATGCATTTGCATCACTAGGAATTGGAAACTTTGACAGAAAAGGAAGAACTAGCAATTCTCCAACTGAACAGAGTTGGTCTTTTCCCTTCTTCTTATCACCCTTTTTGCGTTTTAAAGATGACAAAGAACTCTGACTGTTAGCCACCACCGGAGGCCCCTGCAAAACTTAAAAGATAAGAAGCTGTTTCTGGTTTTTTATCTTGAACAAGAAATCACACTACATTTTTACTTTCAGAAAACGCAAAGCAAACTTATAGGACTCTTAACTGACCTTTGACATAGAAATGACACCAAGTAAATTCATAGCACTTTTTCTGGCAGTATATAAATCCTCTCTCCATCCAGAAATTTCTTCCTAAAAGGCAGTTAACGCCATCAGCAGAGCATCTTGTTGGGCGAAGCAAAACTTTAAAAAATAAAAAGCATACCAGCTCAGATGGTAAATTCTTGCTTAAGAACTCATCTGCATCTTCTTCCCATTCCAAAATATCCTGATACAAGTACGAAACAGCAAGAGGAGAAGTCTCAGAAAAAACAAATATATGTAATAAAGAAAAAAAGAGGATACGAAGGTGGAATGGTGAGCGCTATAAGAATCTGCGTGATAAGGGTGATTTTATTTGGTAAATGGATCCTCAAACAAACTCATATTTCTAATTTCAGCACACAATTTTATCTTATTATCACTATCATATTTTAAAGTAATAAAATATTTAGTATAATGCTATATTACTCATCACACAATATGTCTGCCTTGGACTTAAACTATCAGATGAGGTTGAAACTACCTGATTATTTCACCTCTAAGACTACATATTTGAAAATTGAAATAACTGAAAGAAACGATAAATATGTAAATTTGAGAAATAAACCTTTGCATTCATCATGAGCGCTGGAAAAATAGCTAAGTCCAACAATGATGAAAAATGGGGTGAAACTAATCTCCATCCCTGCTTCCAAATGACGCTATCAGAATACTGTAAGGGAAATAATAACTAAAAGTACCAGATACAACCAAAAGAAAAAATAACCCTGCACCAATTGAAAGCTATCATTATGTAATCCAGAAATTGAATATTGCAACATCCAAATAGTTCTCAAGTAACTATGAACTGTAGAAGCTCACCGGGCCAGTCTCCAGGATATGAGAAATGACGTCAAATGCCAATGAGATGACCCTCTCTGATAAGCAGTCCAGCTTCTGCATAAGAAGAATAAAAAAAAAAAAAAAAAAATCACTTCAGAGTATATAATATGACAGATCACCACAACTGCAAGAAAAAAGTAACAAATTAAACATAGATATGTTTTAAAAAATAAACTGAAAAGAGAACTTATGAACAAAGACTATAAATAGCTTGCTACTAATGGAATACTTGGAGTAATTGGTAGGCTACCCAGTGAGAAACATTTGAGTTGCAGGAAAGCAACTGATATAAAGGCAATTAAGAGATGCAGACACCTCAGGACTGGCCTGCCCCATGAAGTATTCTACCGCAAGTTGGAAGTCTTTTCTTTATTACTTTGTTATTAGAATTTCTTACTTGAGCCAACTGTTTGCAGCCATATTCAATGCAAGAAAAAAAGAGGAAAAGTAGTGTTAAGTAGAAGCCTGGTGTTTAAAGCAAAGACATGACTGCATTCAGGGGAAAGCTTAAAGACTGTTGTGTTGATGTTTTTCCCCTTCGTATATTTATTTATTTGAAGTTGAGAGAAGGGAGTTAAATTATATGAGCATGGAAACTTCCTGACCTGTTCCATTAGTTTTTCTCCACAACATTAAACAGACAAGGGAAAGAGAAGGATTTTTAAGCCTGCCTATAGCAAAGGATACCCTAGATAAGATGAGGCTATAGAGGTCTTCTGCTATTCGAAGAAAAAGGCAAAGTAACATGATATAGGATTTAAGAAAATAATGCAGATGCACCCTAGCTCCAAAGTACTTGAGCATCTAAATTTTGAACAGTGTAAAAAGCTTAAAAAGCCACGCCACAGGCACTTAGCCACTTCAAAAGATTATATTGGCTAAGGGTGCCTCAAGGCTCATTTAGACAGCTATTAAAACCATAAAGTTTGAGTTCTTTATAAAACCAATCTGGTGTTCTTTTTGTCGTGTGATATTATTACTAGAAAAATTCAATAATTTTTATAGCTTATGTTTACTATGTAGGATTCTGTAGACTACTAGACCATATTCTTTAATACAGTTTAGTCAAAGAATGAGCATTTTACATCACTTGCACAAGTCTTATGACCTCTCGCTTAATAGCTACACTTTTATCATCGAAATGCACCCCATAATACTTGTTCTTAAATGTGGGTCTTATTGAGACCCTAAGATGCAATATTTAAATTCACCAGACATTATTTCATCTTTATTAAATTTTACAAATATTTCCCAGAATTTTATGTTACTTGCATTCTTACCTATTGCTTCCCACCTCTCATTTCTACCTCTGCTTATAGAAGTATTATAATTTCAATGTGGGAAAATTATCATTAGATCCGACAATTTTTAGTCTTCCATTGTTATGATCCTTGACATGACAAAAACATCTCTAATATATAATGAGCCTAACTAACAATTTATTCAATTAGCATGGACTAGAAAGAGTCATTCTCTTTTAATTGCTTTATAAAAACCAAATAGAGTGTTTAATCATCACATTTTACCAAACAAGAATTACAAGCATTAGAAAATGCTTACAATGATACAGCACAATAATCTTCTTAAAAATAAAATTGCAAACAAAGTCAATAAACAAACAAGTGAAAACATACACTGATATTGGAGCTACATCTGGCAATATGCAGAACACATTTCATAATATCAGGCATCAACCTGAAATAGTGAAATCAATAGGAAAAAAAAATGTCAATACGAGTTTGGAAAGTCTGCACACGAACCGCAATCACAATTAACTTACTTATCAGAATACTTTCTGTGTCGAGTAACAAGAGCACAAAACATAAGCAAGATCCTCTTTCCAGTTTTTAGTCTTACTTGTTGACTGCCTTCAGAAGATACTGATTCCTCTAGATTTAATGTTTGTAAAAGGCCACATAAGTCACCAGAGAAAGAAGGCAGCAGAGTTGCAACAGAAGTTGGCATATACGACCTGACCTAAATATCCAAATTGCAATCAGTGTTGATAAGTAAATCGACAAAAGTGTGTTTATGCATAAGTTATTGGACAATGGGTAGAGGAAAAAAGGGATAAGCAAACAAAAATAGCTACAGCAACTATTTTCATCTTCAGAACACTGTTATTATTATAAAAACGTTGGTTAGTTATTTGAAACTTAACAACAAAACTTTAAGAGATAGCATCAGGCACCGGAATTACCACAAATAGAGATGTTAAGCTACTTACAGCGAAGTATGTGCATTTGCACACAATTAGAAGGACATTCTCCCTCTCTATGTCCAAGCTTCCTTTAGTAGCTAAAGCCTGTAGAAAAGTTACCACTATTAGACATTATAAGGGCAAAGCTGAAAAGCAAGAACGAATTGAGAACAGCAGACAGAAGCAATGAACCTTCTCCGCAAAACCATGAAATATAGCCAACAAAGGCACCAAAATATCATTGGCAATCTGCTCCAGCTGCGGTGGGACAGGCTCTTTCGCAACTTTTGGATTCAAGAAGTACTGGAGAACATTACAATTATATTGTAAAGAGTGAATTCGAGACGAAACAAGTTCGCGTCATATGAGTTTATCCAACTATCTACAAGTAACAGCCAACAGTTGATTGTATCATAATTACCTGAAAGGGTCTGAGTAATGCTTGAAGAGCTTTGAGCGCGTTAAGTGTTTTCAACCCACTATTCGCATTTCCACTAATAATGTCACTATTTTGGATAGCATAACGAACTTGTGGCACAAGCTCAGGCCATTCATTTTTCTTCACAAATTCAGCATCAACAACAAAACTAAACTGCAATACGAAAACGAAAATTCGACTAAATACAATTTCGTATCATGCAAAAACAAAGCTCAATTAAAAAGGAAATCTTAAGATCAAGTTCAAAAAAAATAGGTACCGCTTCAACCAAGACTCTAAGAACCGGCAATTCCGCTCGAAGCAACGATTCGAGTAGCTTCTCCTTAAAATCCTTACTAAAAGAACCAGATTTTCCTTCGCCAAAAACATTTCGTCTAATCAAATTCTTAAGATAAGTAGCAGCAGCTATTTTTTGACCTTGATTTCCATCTCCTACACCATCAATCAAATCCAAACTTATCGAATTTCAAAACCACAAATTGAAATCCAAAGTATAACATACAGAAAATTGAATTCTAGAAAGAGCAGAAATGAGTTACCATTGACGATGGAGAGGAGTGAGAAAGGAAAATCGGAGGCGGCGGAAAGGCAATCGAGTTGGTTTGTGGCGTTGTGAACTACTTGGCCGTCGAAATTGAAGGTTTCATTGAGAAGTTGAGCAATTCGAACAGTGTCCGCCATTGATGAAGAGGAGAGAGAAAACCCTAGAAATTTGGGGATTTTGGAGTAGTAAGTGAAAGAGGGTAAATGGCGGGAAAATGATGGGAATTTATAAAGCATTGATTTTAATGTAAAGCCGGGAAAAAGTGTTTCGTTGTTCAAAACTTCAAATGCCGTTATACACTTATACCCGTTACAATATTAAGGGATCAATGAGATGTCAAAAACTTACCCCACGGACTCAATTTAATCTACCCAGATTGAGAACTTTAAAATTCACACAACTTAATCGAATAGACCCAACCTAAATACCTAATCGAATTCGAATGAATACTTGAATGGACACCTCTACCGGATTAAAGACATACATGATTTTTTTTTTTTTTTTTTTTGGACAAGGGACGAGAAAGAAACTAGCTCATAACATACTCTATAAAACTACAATATTTAAGCAGTGAAAATCAACGATGATTAGTGATTTCACAACAAGTAGAAATGAAATATTTGCAATGTTTTAAATTGGATTACTTTGAATTCAGAAAAGAAATTGACTTATTGAAATTATCGCTTTGTAAATAATGTAGAGTACTAAGTACTAGTTTTTGGTTATGGACAATAAATTATCTTATACAGAGATTCATATGCTCCTATTTAAAATATGTTCAATTCAGACTATCTAATCGAATACGTAGTATTTGTATTTGCTCAAAACAGGCTATCATCAAATTAGAATTCTATTATTATATTTATTATCATTAAATATCTTTAATTTCGTGACTAAAATACTAAAATTTCATATGTGAACAATACACATTAATACGAATCTAATAACATCTCGGACTTTTTAATAATTATTATTAAAGATTAGTGTGCGAATAATGTCAAATTTAAATCACATTTGAAAATGTAAAGTAAAAACTAGAAATGACATGTTCTTATGTTATTCTTACAATAGAATAATTATTGATCACATGAACCTAAATAATTTGCAAAAGGGGGAAATTAAAGGGGCAATAACTTAATTAGGATAAGCAAAAGCAAGGAAATCAGGGTTGGACTCTAAAGTTTGCATTTCTTTCTCCTCTAACATCAACCAAGCCTCAATTCCATCACCATTAATAGGATGACAGTAATCAGTAAGGGTGAAAAAGTTCATAAACCCAGGAGGTGGTTCTTTCCCGTCCGTGGGAACAATCCACGTAGGCTTTCCGAACCCGAAATCCGCCTCATTGAACCCAATCTTACACCAGCTCGTAACCCAGAAATTGCCCTCTTCATTCTCCATCCCACCTCGCAACTCAGCTTTTCGCTCAAAAATAATGGTTTCCGCCGCATTTTCCCCTTGAAAAGCTGTACTAGTAATTTTCTTGCTAGTATTGGATAAAGCTGAATGGATTTCATGCATTAACAAGCTCTTGAAGCCTAGAGTTGTTACTACTTTTGTGAAAAACTTGGGTGCGTGCCAGTGCGTTCGTGATAAGGTTACCAATGGATCCTCTTGGGAGTGGCGGGCTTAACCTTGACCGCATGTTCACAACAACCGAGAGCTCTGTTTGTTTAATTTGCACTCCTAAAGTAAGCCTTGCGGCCAAGGTTTGCTCCCAAACAAACCCTGCCATGACCTCGAATCTCGTAGGGTTTTGAATAAGCTTACTTATTGCCTTGGCCCTAAGGTTGCTTATAGCAATATCATCGAATATGAAACTTTTGATGACATTGGTTGAATTTGATTTTATAACAGGGGTCTCTGAAAAGAGATCAGGCGAAAATATGTGTTCCGAATTAAGAAGTGGAGGAACTGCATTGACAATAGCTTTGAATGAAGTCGGGTTGGACCAGGTCCTTCAATCGATTACTAGCAAGGGATGACCAATGCTTAAGAAAGATTCCTAGTGAAGCTGCGTCAAGGAGTTTATGGAGCATGTAGCATCCAATCACCACCCGAAAACATTGATCTGAAAAGCTAAAGGTACAAAATCTGAGACTGGTTTCGACCCAGAAGCTTGTAACTCTTCAGGAGGGAGAAACTTGGTAAGCAAGCTAAGCTTATGAGGTGATGTCATGACAAACGAGAGATGACAATTGACTTTAGTCTCAATAAATGGTATGCCTTTGTGGTTGCAAGAAATGGTCGACTCATCTAAGAGTCGACCTGCAAGAGGGAAGAATTGATCAAGTGTTTGGCTTAGGGATGTTTTTAGGCCACTTATATCAACCCCGCCTTGTCGAGTTAGGGAGTTGGCAGTGTAGAAAAAGAGCATGGGCACATGATAGGTATAGTAATTTTGATCGAGGAGGGAAAGGGTGAACGTTGCGGGATTAGAAGGTGGTGGAAAGGATGGTTTTACCATCTCTTTCGATATTATATTCACCTCTACTTCAAGTTCATTATCAATCAATAATATCAAGTTCTTTCCCCATTGATAATGAACTTGATTTATGTTCTTGCTTTAAAATTCTCCATTTCTTATGAGACCTTTAAATAGACCTCAAGCCTTTTAGTTAAGGGGTCATTAATCTAATGCCAATAATTTGATTTTTAAAATATATTTTTAATCCTATTTTCTTTTTTCTTTCTTTTTTTTTTTTAAAGAGCTGCTAAACACCATTGAAGATGGAATCAGATCTTATATTATCAAATTATTAAGCATCTACTCCATCTACACATGTTTTTTAAATGATCTGACGTGAATCTCATTAATTAGTTAGTACTAATGTACTTTCATGCTTAAATTATTGGAGTAAGCATTTGCAGAAGTTTCTTGGTTTTGTGGAATAAAATCTCCTATAATATTTTTATTAAACAAGTATCCTTCTTGTCTAGCACGTTTATCAGTTTATGTAATGTTTATATATACGCGTAATATGATAAGATCACAAGTGTTCTGACTTGCTACATACTAGCTTTTTTCTCTTATCTTCTTTATAATGTGAGTTACGTCACATACAAACAACGATGAGATTTTAATGCATAGGTATTGGGGCAAAAAAAAATCAAGAACATTGTATGATGAAGGCAAACCATTAAGAACACTATACGATGAAAGTAGTATGTACTCCGTACCTACTGGATGGTATATTATCGTACTCACTTTGTCCCATTAATAAATTTTAAAAATTTCTTCAGTTAAAAATTAATAATAAAAATTAAAAAAAAATCTATATGCTTTACTAATATTAAGTATCCATTTAAATAAAATATTATATAATTTTACCATAATATACTTACTACCTCCGTCGTTATTTGCTATAAATTAAAGGAATTTTTTTATATCTTACAAATAATACTCATTTGTTACGAATAAAAGATTCGAAAGTAGTACTTTATTTCCTTTTTTCATATATACAATACTCCAACATTTTAATTTTGTGTCTCTAAGGACCTGTTCACATTTACTGAGCTGAACTGAACTGTACTGGATTGAACTGATTGGAGCCGAACTGAACCGAACTGATTGGAGCCGAACTGAACCGAACTGATTGGAGCTTAACTGAACTGAACTGAGCTAAAATGAATATTCTATAAAAAAAAAGGAAATTAGGAGCTGAATTGAAGTGATTGGAGCTGAATTGAACTGAACTGATTTGAGCTGAACTAAACTGAACTAAAATTAAGTAAATATGAACAGACCCTAAATAATCAATTTGTCCTTAATGTTTATCCCTTTGGAATTTTAATAGATTCCATGAAAAGCTAGAATATCAAAATATAACATACTCAAACGATATTTTGTTAAATTCGTTTTTATTTTAAAATTCTTGTAATCAAACTTTATAAACTTTGACCATATATTCTCATTATTATATACAAAAAAAGGCACGGTAGATATTGTTAGATATAAATTTACTTCTTCATAAAGTTTCATATGTTGTTGGCCACACAGTGTGGTCGGGCCTAGTTGGTCGGTCAGGGGTAGTTCAACCAAGGGTTATTCGGTCGGTCAGGTGTTACACGGTCGATCAGAGGTTACTTGGTAAGTGTTTTGGTGTTTGTCAACTGGCCACACGATGTGGGCAGCCACACAGAAAACATGCTATATTATTACTTCTTATATAGTAGTTTTTGTTAATTTTTAATTAAAGGTATTGATGTTCAAAGATTTTTTTTTTGAAAACCACATAAAATCAAATAGCTAGACATTTAATTTGGGATGGAAATAGTACTTAGTTTAATTTATTGATTTCTGAAAAAGATAAACTGTAATTATATGTATAACAAGTTTATTACTAAATAAAGTAAAACTTATCATGTTTATTATTGAATTAATTCAACTGTAAATATCTCTAATTATTATACTCACTCCATTCATACCTTTTTTTTTGCCCTATTTGACTTTTTATGGTCTCTAAGACATGTTTTAAAACATATATTATTATCTATTTCCATGCACATAAAAGATAAACACTTGATATTAATCACATACAATGAGATGAATCCAAGCTAGAAAATCTCACATGACTATATTATCTCTTGTAAATTATCAAGAATCTATGGTAAAAATAAATCGAATAAAGTTTAGCCCAAATTTAGCAATAAGGTAAAAAAAAAAATTTGGATGAACAGAGATAGTAATAATACATAGCTTAACTTGGTGGGTATTTCATCAATACACTATGAGGGTTATAGTTAGGAAGGAATGGTCTAGTACGTGTTCAAAGACAACCAACCAGACGTTTCCTTTGTTTACATGTTTATCAAAGAAGGTTACCTAAATCAACAAGGGTTGTTCTAAGGCTCTAAGAACCAAGATAACAAGAGGCTAACTAACAATCATGCACTTAAATTAGTCAAAACTTGTGATAGTATACAATTAAACAAAACTTCAATTGTACACAACTAATTAATTTGACCTCTTTTCTCTCGTCAAACATCCCACCCCAATGAAATTGTAGGATTGCCAGAGTTCCAGTGCCTCTCTATAAAAAATTACTTGGCATTTTAAACAAACTTTATAATGATTTCACTTTATATACTACCTCCGTTAAGTTTTATTTACAACTTTGGGGTATTATTTGTGAGATATAAAATATTTCAAAGTTGCAAATAAAACTTAACGGAGGTAGTAGTACTTCATCAGTTTCGAAATAATTAGCCACTTCCTACCAAATAAGTTAAGAAAATAATAGGTGAGGCTGAGGGCCATAAAGTGTACTGTGTTGCTTAATGTGAAATTAAGTAGCAGATACATTTATAGTTTTATATTATTATAAAATGAGACATGTGATGGTGGGAGAAGTATTGGACCATAGTGTGTTGTAAATATGTACATTTTCAATAATGATGATCTATTTTATTTAAACTAGGTTAAATTCCCGTGTAATGCACGGTTGTTAAATATTTTTAACAATAATATTACAAAATATAAAGTACATATATAAAAGATATTCATAAATATTTTATTTGCATATATACGGAATATGATTTTTAAATTGGAAAGAAAATATTATAAGGTATAAATAGTTTTCTTAATGATTTTGCAAAAAAAAAAATAAAAAAAATAAAAAAAAAAAAGAGAGAAAAAAAGCGAAAAAGTCAGGAAAAAATTTTACAAGTTACTGACAAGTGTCATGGAAGGATTTGCTTTTAGTATAGGTTAATAGATAGATAGTATGTCAATTATTCTTTAACGACTGAAAGAGAAAAAATCTCAAGTTTTGCGAAATAGAGAGAGTAATACTTAATAGTCACACTTTTATTTATTGACTAGTTGTTGGTGC